AGATCGGACTGTAGATCACCTTTAAAGTGCTTCAGAAATTCTTCATCTTACTTAATAATGAATCTTGCAATTAGCGAAATTTTAACAAATCTCTCGTGGTTTTTGGTTCAGTACCGGCACCCATGTATAAACGGATAGATCGGAAGAGCACTGATTTACCTGCCACCTTATGTTGGTTGCTGTTCCGTTGCTACCATGGCTTTTGACCGTTACATGAGTTGTGTTCATCCATTCAAATATAGAATTCAGATCACTCGAAATTTAACTATCGCAATAATTTTTCTTCAGTGGCTACTTTCCTTTGGACTGATGGCATTTCGAATAATATTCGCGAATCACAGGTGGCAGGTCTATACTAGAAGCAGCATGGCTGTATTCCTATTGCTTAGTGTGCTAATAATGTACAGTAAAGCAGCATTTGTTTTAAAAAAATAATTCAAGATATTTAAAAAGTGTAGCCGCGGTTTCAACTACTGCGCAGAATAAAGCAGATCATGTGCATATGGTTAATGAGAAACGGTTGCTTACAACAATGTTCTTGGTGTCATTCCTTACGATCACAACGCTGGCTTCTGTGATGATCTATATGATTGTCATAGATGATTCGCGTATATCTTACACACGCATGGGCAGCAATCCTGTCCATGCACGTATCGCTTACTACGTTATTTTTTGTTAACTATTCAATTAATCCTTTCATTTATATCTGGCGTTTGAAGAATTACAGAATAACGTTTAAAATGCTTCTTAAAAAACTTTATTGCTGTAACGTTTGAGGAATTGTTGCTTTCACACTTGCTGCAGATTCCTATCATTTACAGATAGATACGCAACGTACAGTTGCATGGAATGTAAGTTGACGAATCTTAAGGATTATCTGTTCAATTTGAAAATTGCTAGCATTGTAACCTGATGCATTGACATTTGACACGGGATATACACGTACACTCCGTATACACGTATTCGCTATGATGTCGATACTATTGTTTAATCGGCAAGTTCAACTTAATTAACAATCATTCTCGCAAACATTTGCGTCCAGTTTTTCACCTAGCAGGGTGGGACCGAAGGGAAATGTGAAAACGTTGACACTGAAAAGCAAGCACGGATACGCGGTCAAAGACATGGAAGCTACGGGGTGTTATGAAGAAGATGCATAGTTATGGAAAGTCCGGGAGATTCCGAAACTATCAGCAGTTAAGGAAAACGAAGGCTGCTATAGACAAGGCAATTGTTAATACCATGGACTGGTGGGGCATTTTCCCAACTGAGCCTCTTCCTTTGCCCCACCACTTCAGAAAAGAATGGCCTATTGCCCCAAATCCAAGGACCTGAGACCTGTATTGAGTAAATTAGTTCAACATTGAAAAAAAGTTTATAATTATAAATTGTTCATCTTTTATGCTTATATAGTGTGTAATGTTTCTAACATCACACATGTTACTAAAATATACGTACAGTATATATCTTAGAAATTAGTATATGTTACTGTTTAAATACAAAATTTGTTGGTGGGCATATACTGAAACTTATGAAAGTTGGCTATTTCAGTAAATTTTGCGATCTGCAAGTTGCAAGATGGCCGGCGGAATAGTTCATATTAGCTTTAATCATTACGATTTAGTTCATATATTGTTCGTTTTCTTTGTGCAATAAAATAATTTAAAATAATGTATTAATTAAAGGTAGTTACAGTAAACCTCCGTACATAACCCCCCCCCCCCTATTTTAACAGAGTTGCTATTATTATACACGTAATAATTAGACCTATAATATACATTCTATCACATGGCACCGAGTCAGGAGATCCCATGAGATAGCACGGCGCATGCGCGGGTTTATTGCACGCCTCGTGTGGGTTCGAAGCGGACGAAGAAAAATTTAGAGAAAAATATTTCAAGTTAATTCAAGAAGATTAAGCTACTTTCCTTGTGTCTACGTGGTAGATACTTAATCAAAAGCGTCCAACGTAGTTGGTATCGCTGTGATAA